GAGATGCCCTGCAGGGAATTGCTGACCAATTAGGCCCCACCTCTTACATGACATTCCAAAACAGGATGGCCTTAGACATGATTCTAGCGGAGAAGGGGGGTGTATGCAAAATGATTAAAGACACGGGAACCTGCTGCACGTACATCCCAGACAACATCGGCCCAAATGGTAAAGTTACCCTAGCCATTAAGAAGCTAACAGACCCGTCAGTGGAACTAAAGAAGAATTCAGGTATCACAGACCCATGGGACCAATATTTTAATTGGATGACAGGTTGGCAGAAAGCATTAGCCCAAGTAGGTGTGGTGATTCTCATTGTTATGATCTTTATCAGCCTAGTAGTCTGCTGTGTGATTCCCCTATGCCAAGAAGTTAATGGCCAAAGCGATGGAGGAGAGTACTTTGACCCCAACCATGATACAGGTAGAAGAGGACACCTACCTGAGTGATGACGAGAAACCATATTCCCCCGTTACGATCCTTCTCCCCCAAATATAATGTTATAACACCTTAGGTTAGTGAGAGTAGGGACAGAGACCACCTGACAGTGCATACCAACATGTTGGGACCAGAGGTGGATTAGCCCCTCGGACGGCCCCTACACATGTAAAGAAAAGAGTTCCGGGGTGTGTTCCAGGTGATAGGGTAAGGGACAGGTAAATTTATCTACATAGAAATAGCCATTTTAGGGGGGACTGTGAAGGAATATGGATCATATCAAGAAAATGTCCTTTTCTATGTTTTGAATTTGTTTCATTTGCTTCCTAGCTTTGTGATTTTCCTTACTCAGCTTCTAGCGTTGCTATGCGTAACCAAGAGATATAACCTGTATTCGGGAGCGCGCCAAGGATACATGAAAGGAATGCCGAGGGAGGATGCTACAGGCAGAAGATATATTTGACTAACCAATTAGCGAGAGACACAAGACTTTAACTAACAGCTCCTCTAGTTTGCCCAATAGTACAAGACATTTAGAGATAACAGATGTGGGCATATGTGTGACGAACACTTTCCTGTTATCTGTGTATAAAGGAGAGAGACCGCCCTGAATAAAATTAGAGCTTTCATAGACCGTTAAATTCTGAGTTTGTGATTTCTCCGGTGCACCGAACACAACATAATTAGAAACAGCAGCAGACATCTTGTGTGAACCCAGTTGTGGTTCAGATCCATTTCACAAGTACCGAGATATACCCGTTTACAGCTGCATCCTGTCATTTATTTCTGTGGGCAATGGTACAAAGCAGCTGTGACTGCCGGGCAGGGAAATACACCTGCTTTTTATATTGTATGGCCTTAGGCGCCCTTGTGCATGAGGCCTAAGGTCCTGTTTACACCTAAAGTGTAGCATACATCGCACAATACTGTCCAAATAAAGCACACTATTGCACAACGCACCTAATTTGCATTACTTTTCACTAGGTGCATTGCGTTGCTATTCATTTAAATAGCACTGCAACGCACAACCCAGCCACCTTGCACTGCAACGCATGGTAATGCAAAACTGTGCTTTGCAGTGGAAAAAAAGTAGTGTATGCAGTAATTTATGAATAAAAGCTACAATAGTATAAATGAATACAGAGCAGGGCCAAAGCGGTCAGACTGATAGCTCAGTCCTGCAGGTAACATCCATTAGAGCTCTGTGATAGCCAGGCACTGTACTCTGCTTATCAGGAGTGCACAGAGCTCCTGATACAGAGCGGGTGGTCGTCACACTGACATTCGAGCGGGGTGCTGCTGGTTTACACAGGGAGAGAAGGGTAATGTGCAGGACTGAGCTATCAATCTGACAGATCAGTCCTGAACAATGCAAGATAGGGCTGGGCAATGCAAAGGCAGGAGAAGCTCCCACCATAAAAACTTCCGCAGTATGGCACCTTAGGCAGATGCCTCTTCTGCCTCTGTCTTGGCTGGGCCCTGATTGGTGCACAGCATTTTGTAGGCTTCCTTATACTTTGACAAAAGGGGTAGGCCTTGTTTGAAGGCACCAAGGCAGTAAAGAAATTCTGGTGCATTTATGAAGAACTTTAGGTCGGCTGAGAAGTTTACCTCCACCAGACCATCCTGTGGCTGGCACAACTAAACAGTGTAGGGACAATTCATACATGTTTATTAGATGTCATCCTCTGTGCTGTGTTTGGGTTATAGAACTCAACGCTTTCATTTACTATTGTGATTTCTGCCAAGAAAGCTGGAGTAAAAATGGAGAAACCGCCCATATCAGCCAACCATGCTTCATTTATCAGCCCAGTAACATCACTCATTTGTTGCTGTGGTCACTGGCTCAAATTTGGCTCTAAATTTTCATAAATCAGCCTGAGTAAATCATGTAGGAGTCTACAGGAATTCACAAGTGAAATCTCCTCAACATAACCTGATTCTGAAGAAATAAAAATGTGTGAGATTCCGAAAAGAGTCATCATCTTACCAGTACAAGGATGATTATAGTCTACAGATACACGATCATCTGCAAGATAAGACAGTATGTAATGTTTCAGGGTGAAATATTCGGCTACAAAGCATTAACTTATTATACATTACCACAATAACATATTATCCGTTCTGTTGGACTCGGCTGGAGGACAGCACCTGAGATCTGGTGTTCTTGCATAATTGTACTTTCATGCATTAGGCTCAATTCACAAAGCTAATACACCAGGACACAGATACTTATTTTCAGTGACAGTTGTTTTTAGGCTGAGAGCCAATAGATCTGGCTGAAAATAATATACTTGTGTTATACCTGTGTTTAAAGCTTTGTGAATTAAAGCAGAACTACGGGCAGAATTTTTTAATAACTCTTGCAGTGGGGCTACCCCCACACAGCAAGGGTGAGGTGCTTGTTTTTGTCCAGGTGCTAAAGATTATACTAACCCGATCACCAGAGCCAGCTCACTTTAAAGGTGGCCATACACTGTACAACCATCGCAAGACCTTAGTCTTGCGATGGTTGTAAAGGGATTAAAAAAACGTACGATCTGCCTATCTTGGACAGGCAGATCGCACTCTCGATCATCGCAAGCCCGCCCCCCTGAGGGGCGGGCTTCCGATGACCGCAATGCTGAACGGGCAGTGTGCGCGTGCGCACACCGGCCCGTTCAGCATTTGTCTTCCGAGCACCGTTCTAACCAGCCGAGAATCGTACGATTCCCGGCTGGTTTTCGAACATGCTGGTTCGACAGAAGACGTGCGACCGTACAGTAGAAACGGTTGCACGTCTCCGTTCACACTGCTCGATTATCGTACGAAAAACCGATCGCATACGATTATCGTACGATAATCGTGCAGTGTATGGGCACCTTTAGACTGGTCCCTGGAGCCTCTCTCCCACTCTGCTGCAGCGGTCTAAGGTTCAGTAAATCATCACGTTCTATACACAGTGTATAGACATGAGGATGCTGAGAAACATTCCAATGCTGCAGCATAAGAGGAGACCAGCTTCAATGACCGGGGAAGCAGGCAGCCTCCTCGGCAGTTCAGTTCTTGCAGCCCCACTGCAAGAGTTAAAGTGACATTAAAGGATAAAATGCCCCCCCCCCCCACCATGTTAGTGTATGCACTTACCTTAAATGATGCCCCTTGATGCAATCATCTTCTTCTCTACTGTAGTTTTCAGCTGTCCCTCCAGTGCTGGTACCGGTCTCCGAACCAGCGCCGACTCCCCTGTGCTAGCTGGCACTTCCTGTCCCACGGAGTCTGTGCAGGTGCACGCTGCTCCATAGACTTACCTTGTGTCTCTCCTCATCTCCCGGCCGAAGATCTGAACTGCGCATGCGCCCACCCAAAGATCCTTTGCAGTCGCCCAAGATTCTTCAAATGCTCGGACGGGAGCACGCTGCGAAGACACAGGTAAGTTTTAACCTGTTTTGAAAAGTTTTGTTTTTGTAAAGTTTTTGCATATACCTACTGCTTGCTAGCAGTAGGTATGCAAAAACGGCTGAGAATTTATTAACCCTTTAGGAACACTTTTTGTCCAGGGATCTTCTTTAAGCTTTGTATAATATTGAATGCGAACCTTCTTAAAGCTCAAAGTGCGCTATACTCGCCTTCCCTCCAGCAATGTGATGTCTGCGAGCTCCATCAAAAACATCTTCACCCGCCATGAACAGTGCAGTTTACATTCGATAGAAGCTTGCAAACAAGCAGGTAACAATACATTGCAGAAGAGACATACAGTTGTGTGAAAAAGTGTTGGCCCCCTTCCTGATTTTTCATTGTTTTGCACGTTTGTCACACTTTAATGTTTCAGATCATCAAACAAATTTAAATATTAGTCAAAGATAACACAAGTAAACACAACATGCAGTTTTTAAAGGAAGGTTTTTATTATTAACCACTTCCCGGCCGGCCGTTGTAAAAAAAACGGCCGGCCAGGAGCTCTCTAGATCTGAGCGGGCGTCTTTAGACGTCCGCTCAGCCACGCCCCCTCACACGCGCCGCTGGCAAATGCCGACATTTGAAAACAGGCAGCGATGCCCGTTAATATACAAGCGATCTGCCGGCTATAGAGCCGGCGGATCACTTGTATGAGGTCCCGGGATGTGCGCCCCCCCTCCGCGGCTCCCCCCTCCCGCTGGTCCCGGGCTCCGCATACTGCCTCTGTCACAGGGGATCAGAGGGAGGTCGGTACACGACCTCCCTCCGGTCCCCTCTCCGGTGTCAGAATGCGGAACTGATGTATATTACATCACTTCCGCATTCTCGTGTCACTCTCCAGCTTCAGATGCTGGAGAGAAGCTGATGAAGCAGATCTCTGCTTCATCAGCTTCTTCAGGGGGGTCCTAGGTGACATTAGGGGTCTTGGAGACCCCTGATGTCTCCATAAAGAGGACCTGTCACATCTTTTGCTATCACTTAAGGGGGTTTTCTTAGCCCCCTATGTGATAGCAATAAAGTTAAACTGATGAGCTGTAAAAGCTTTTAAAGCGTCGCCTATGGTCAATTTTGGGTATGGTAGTTTTTTGCGATTTCGCGGGTGCGCGCAATTTTAAAGCATGACATGTTTGGTGTCTATTTACCCGACTTGACCCCCGTCTTTTATATTTTTCCAAAAATATGGGTAATAATCATTGTTTCCTAATATAATGGGGGGAAACTTTTTTTCCCAAAATTTTCAATAATTTTCCCGTAATATTCCGGTGAATAAATACCACCAAAAGAAAGCTCTATCTGTCCCCAAAAAAAATGGTATAAAATTAATTTCAGTACAGCGTTGCATGACGGAATAAACGTCAATCAAAGTACCGCAGAGCTGAATACTGAAAAATGGCCTGGCCAGGAAGGGGGTCTAAACAACCTGGTCTTGAAGTGGTTAAGGGAAAACAAAACCCAAACCCACATGGCCCTGTGTGAAAAAGTGTTTGCGCATCTAAACCTAATAACTGGTTGGGCCACCCTTAGCAGCAAGAACTGCAATCAAGCATTTGCGATAACTTGCAATGAGTCTGTTACAGCGCTGTGCAGGAAGTTCACTTGAGACTCAAAGTACAGAGTATCAGTGGCATCATAGAAAAAAAATTGGTCTAATGTATCATATTGTCTAAAATAACTCGTCAGTGTTTGTCATAAGAGTGCATTGCATTTGTTTTTTTAAACTAGCATTAAGTAAAAACTGCAATTTAAAAGACCACTATACCCCAAAAGCAAAAATCTCTCTTCAAGAGGGCCTCCAGCCATTCATAGTCGGGAGCGATAACAATCCCTATCAAATTATAGTTCCTATTTGTGACCTCTTTTAAGAGACCCATTCTCACTTTTTGTCACCATAAAATAAAGCAGAAGGAAATGTACATTAGAGTTCCCCTTAGAACAAGGGCAAAGGGGAATTCTTCCAATAGGGACACCTGCTCCAGTGACAATGTCAAAAGTTATAATTATCCCTACTTTTAGGGGTAATTTCCTCTCATTCTGTCTTGTCTCTGAGATAGGCATTAGTAAAACCCTGAGAGGTTATAACCCTCCCCCTCCCTACCCAACACTAGAACAGAACATTTTGGATGGAGTTCCACTTTGATCAAAGTTATGCAGTTTGGGTACTATGGCCCTTTAAATAATGGTAATCCAGCACATAATAGGCAAAGGGCATTACCGGTCTCATAGTAGTCATACACTTCTACTGCGGCTGGTTTCAGGTCTTTGACCTCAACATCCTGTTCCACCATGAAGGTTAGATGTTTCAACTGTTGGTCCAACTAAACAGATAAAGACAATTATATAGTTTTAGCATTAATAGCAAATCTAGTAATAAAATTAAAACTAATTGAAATTAAAAGACAAGAATTCAGACATAAAGGACAACAACACAATCCATAAATGTATACAGACATTTCCATATTTTAAAGGGAATCAATATGCAGTGTCCTTGTATTCATGTGTATTTTATGTGCTACATTTTAGTTTGTGAAAAAACTGTATATTAATATTACATGAACTCTATTTGCAGCCAGGTGGCAAAAGTGAGGCAACAGAGTCACTTGATGATTGTAAATTAGAATATACACAGCTAAATGAGCCAGAAGAACAACCCCACTCCCTCTCTGTTAGTGGACATGGTGCTGCTTAAGGCCCAGTGCAGATCTACGCGATCCAGGATCGCGCATCCTGGGATCACGTGGTCCTGCACAATGCAGGCCACGATTGCCGCACGGCCTCATTGATTTCAATGAGGTGATATCCGCGCAGCAATCGCAGAAAAAAGGTACAAGTACCTTTTTGTTGCGATACACGACGGGGCAACTGGGGTGCCATTAGAAAATAATGGCACACACAGCGCGATCTGTGCACACCTAGGTGATTCCTGACCGTGCGGCAATCCGCGTGAATTCGTGCACGATTGTCGCGCGGTGAGGCGTTGCTCAGGTGTACACCGGCCCTTACATTTTTAATCTGCAGGAATGTCAATTAATACAGAAGCAGTACTGAACTTCCTTATTAGACAGAGTCATATGGAATCACCGGATATAAAACAAAAATGTTTCTTTGTAACATAAAGGACTTCAACAAATGAACTGTAAAAACTATATTAGAGTCTGTGTAGATAGGCTTTTGTCTGCATCAGATGGGTTTTGCATTTCCATACAAGTCTATAAAAATGCAAAAAAAAACTTGAAAGAGGTCAATTCCAGGTCAAAAGCAGGTCATATGCAAGTCAAATGCAACAGTCAGTGAGTTCTAAATGATCTCCAAAGCTTCTCAAGCTGATGTCAAAATGATGCCATCGCCACAAGCCCAAAGCCCCTCAACACAGACTCTTTAGGAAAGCTGAATTATTTTTTTTAGGAAAAATATAACATTGAGCCAAATTCAACTAACGGTGTCATCTTTGTTTGTTGAGCCTTGTGTCATCTCTCACCATAAAGGCAAACTTATCTTACAGCCAGATGCCCATTCTAGAGCCTAAGATGAATTGGCTGGCCCAATTTTTACCTGCATGACCAGTCCAGTTCATCCATATGCTGTGACAACAGTGACATCAAATCATCAGCACATGTAGCGAGATTTACAACTTACGTGGTCAAAGTACAAGATCACCTTGTCCACCTGGATATCACTTCTCTTTATCACTTTGTCTTTCTCCAGCTGTAGAATGAAAGCAGTATGATTTACACAATTATCACCTTAGTCTGAATAGCATGCATGTATATAATGAAGGCCCCATGTAACAAACCATGTGTCCCAAGACCTTTGATAAGGCATGGCAGGAATCTTGACTGATGCAGCACACTCTAAAGTTGGCTCTACACTATACAATCTGTATAATTTCCTTCAGATTGACCAATAACTATGCAATGCAAGGGCTACATAATTTGAATGAGTTTCTTAGGTAAGTTCTCATATTAGTTTTGGTACATCTAAATAAGATTGTACAGAGATTGTACATTTAGATTAAAATGTGTATGGCCATCTTTAGGCTTCTCAGAGACATCACATAACAGATTGGAGAAAGTTGATTATCTTTCTAAAGCTTACCATAAACATTACATTCTGTTCCTCCACTTCCCACTTCCTTTATGGGAACTGAAGGAACTCTGTAGGAATGTAGAATGTGCACTGTATCCCCAATGGCAATAAAAGCAGGAACCACTGCAGCCTGTATGTTAGGAAACATATTGAGAAGCTCCATGAAGTGGCAAAAAGGAGCAAAACAATCCTAATATCCCAATGAAGATACAGATGTTAAGCCAGGCATTTAAATTTTTTTACTGAAAATGTTCCTGCCTGCCCCCTTTTTAATGAAGTAGTTTCACCGTGTCACATATCAAGCCATCTACCAAGCAAGATCGGCAGATTAGAGGGCATATTATTCCCATGTACAATGTATGCACAGAACACAGGAGATGAGAAACAAGTACTAAGCTTTAAATCTCCTGTTATGTGAGCAGACAGAATACTGGCAAGTCAGCATTACTTAGATATTAAAAGATAAACTGCCAGTTGTAGCACTCACCTGCCTTACTGTACTCTTCACTGGGATGAAACCGGATAGCATTTTCACCTCTAGAACAGCCATGTTGGATATTTTCCGGGAACCTGTGTACCTGTAAGAAGTAAAAATAAATCATTAAGGGCCTGAACCATTCTAGGATATCCCTCCTAATTCTTTCAAATCTGTCCATACACAGGCTTTTTTCTCCATGATTGGAGGGATTGCCCAATAAAGTAAACATTTTTGGTCACTCACTTATCACCCAGTACTAGAGAACTCATTCAATTAACCCCTGGGTGGCTCTCCTCAACAGCAAGCCCCCCGTGTGCAACACGAATGAAATACTCTTATTCACCCACATTTTCACATCAGCTAAACAGACAATTGCTGAAGTGTGGACAAAAATCCATCATTTTCTTTGATGAACTGAATAACTATATGCACCAATGCTTCATTTACAAAAATGTGACTGCTCTTCAATGTGCCAAAATCCTGAACTTGTACTAAAACCAAGAAGGGGATTTATTTTTGCTGCTTGCTCTTTTGGGAGTATTTAGATGGTATTTGCTTTAAGGTCTGTTGTAGCCCCAAAGAGGAATCGTGTTGCTTGCAAATAAAATCCCAAACTTCTATGATGTTGAGAACCCCTGGATCAAGCACTTTCTCCCCACGGACTTCGATTGCTCTCACCTATATGATTCAAGTAAAAATTATTGACAATAGATTAATCCTCTCCCTTCTCAGTTCCCTTTTGCTCAATTTTTTTTCTCCCATTAACCCCACCCTCCTCCTCCTGGATACCATATCCAATTTTCTCCCCTTAGTATTAGAAACCCAACTATAGTCCAAACTAATGTTCTTTAGTTTTGGATATCAAGAACACACAGATACCTGTGGCAGGAATCCCAAATCTGTCATTTAGATACGTCTGTTGTCACCCGTTTAAGTTATTGACTGAGTGACAGCGGCCACATCTATAAGCAGTAATCTGCATGTAATCGTATCTAATATGATAACATGTGGTTTGGAATAGTTAATTGTCCCTGTCATGCACACAAGGTGCATGACAGCAGCCGCATCTAAAAGAGGAGATTTGGAATTCCTGTGGCAGGAACCTACTTATTACCTGCCACAGGAATCCCAAATTGCATAGTGTGAATGTAGCCTAAGATGCTTTGATTTAGGTCTAGTTTAATTGATGCGTCACAAATATCTGATAGCTGACAAGCAAAAGAAAGATATGTCTGGAGATCGCTGGGAGTCACTGTAAGGAAGAGTAGAGAGCTAAACATAAAACTATCAAAGAATAATTGTTATATTTGTTTGATAATGTGAAGATCGATGAAAGCAAAATGTGACTGTCACACCACCAGCATTATTGCGAAGACATAGCAGGGTGGTTGACGTAATAAGTTATAATAGAAGACGTACGCAGCAAGGATTCCAATTTCAAAACTTTTCACTGTTTTCCCCAGACATTCCATTCTTGAACTAGTCCTCACACTCAGTGAAAATACAGCTTCAGTTTTAGGTGGAGGGATATTGTATCTCAGGACAGCCTGTTAAGTAAATAGAGAACGTTTATGTTTCATTAGTTTTTATTGAGCATTTTCATTTAGACAAAACAAAAAGAAAGGATGTTGAAAAGCAAATCAGGTCCGGGTAGGACCGAAATGACAGAACAGAAAACATACACGCACTGAGCCTCTAAACCATGCACAACAATGGTAGGCAGGGGTCCCAGAAAGGGTCCAGAGACATATTGAGAGAGCTATGTTTACTGCTATTACTAAGCATCGTGGGGGAGGTGTGAGACCATAGAAACCAAGGGTTCCATTTCTTTAGAACCAATTAGTCCCATCGCACTCCTAACCGGAGAAAAGCCCAGCGTACGGGGCGGATGCCAGAGTAGCAGCAGATGCCTCTGCAGACAACGTACAGCCAACGAGAAAGCCACCTGCACTCCAATTCGATGTCCAGTCAACTCATTTATTGGCTGAAGTTGTGTGACATCAACGTTTCAGAACCCAGCGGTTCCTTCATCAGGCATGTTCTGTTTGCCTGGTGAAGGAACCGCTGGGTTCGGAAACGTTTCATTTAGATGTCACACCACTTCAGCCAATAAATTAGTTGACTGGACATCTAATTGGCGTGCGAGTGGCTTTCTTGTTGGCTGTACCATTTCTTTAGAAAACTCGCCACATGGAGAACCTTTAAAAAGCCACGCCCAGCTCCTCCCAGTTGTTAATCATTGGGCGGGACCTGCTGGAAGACTCTAGCAGGTGACGGCCAATAGGAAACAATTGGGTGGAGCTAGCTGTCACTGCAGCAGAATAGCCAAGCCGAATGCCGCTGGCTATTCACTCACTGCCGTTCGGCCCCTATAAGAATAGAGGCAAACGGCAGTGAGGGAGCTGCCGGAGCTTCGGCTCATCATTCCAGATGTTGGATCGGCGGAGTGGAAGTCCTTCTGCAGAGTATGTTCAGCTGGCCGAAGGGAACTGATGTATGGCTGATTTCAGCCGATGTAAGGCTGAATCCAACTGTACTGAGCCAGAGTGAAACGTTGTTTCGGCTCACTTCACTTCAGCTGGGTTAATTAATCGGCTGCCTTTGGCAACTTTGTGAATACCCCCCTTAGTGTACTTAGTATATTTGTCATCCAATCCATATGACATAAATATCACTCTATATTAAATAAACAGTAATGTTGAACATAAAAAAAATACAGACAATGAAAATATATTGTTCTCTTGGTGGTCAGAAGGGATGAACTTTGGGTTCAGGTGGACCAGGAGTTTAACCAGAACCCAAGCTATTCCAAGTTAGCTGAATAGGTGAGTAATTTAGCCAGCTGGCTGAACCTCCATCTGCATCCTAGCAACCAGTGATGCTGTGTGGCCTGCACAAAGTCACTGGTTGCTAGGATGCAGGCGGGCCCATGATAACAACCTATGACCTGTAGGGTTGCCAGCCTATTAGCAACCAATGACAAAGTATACGGTTTGCGAAATCGTTCACTGAACTCCGATTTTTAGATGGGTTAAGCAAGTGTAGCGCCCTCTAAAATGTCACTATTCAATTTAGAGATACCTGGACTGTAACCAGTCCAGATACTGATTATACAGAGCTCTGCATTCTATAGGTGTCCCTGAGTCTGCTGGATTGATTGCTCCTCTTGTTGCTGAGGAAAAGGGAGCCTTGGCATACAGTGAGGGAGGATCCACCCTCAGGTTATGACTATGCACCTGGCCCTAGCCAATCCCTGAGTAGGATGACTCAGAGGCATGATTGAGGGCAGGTAATAAAAGGTCTGGGGACATTGTGGAGAGCTCTCTTCCTCCTAGGGGCCTTGCCCTAGGAGGACTGTGTGTGATGCAGAGCAAATGGCCTGGGCCTCAGCACATGGCAGGTGCTGAGGGGCCTGGAGGCCTAAGGATACACTGATACTTCACTGGGCCCATACACGTGGCAGATTCCAGATCCTGTTGCTAAGGAAAATACCTGAATGAAGAACCGAGCACTTGGCCGTTACCTGCGGAAAGTGCGTCAAACTCTCTGCACTCATCAAAGCATGGAGTCGCTGTGACCGTTGTGGAGATTGCCAAACATCCAAGCAAACTGAACCTAGGCCCCGTACATTAATGGTGCGAGGCCCCTTACATTGGTAGTCAGTGGAGAAGAGCCTCTGTAGATTTGTGATCAGTGAGAGAAAGACCACCTTACATTGGCAGTCATTAGAAGAGGGGCCCTCTTAGCCCTCGTTGACACCTGAACGTTTTGTAGCGCGTTCTACGCTCGACGAACGCTCTACAAAACGCTCAAACATGAAAATACCATTGTTTTCAATGGGTCTGGTTCACACCTTGCCGTATTTCAGCCCGTCCCTAACGCGCTACAAAACGGCCCACGCCTGAAAAGGTACAGGTACTACTTTGGGCCGTTTTTGTTGCGCGTTTCCATTGGGATACAGCCAAGTAGCCCTCGGAAACGCGTGTGTGTCGCGCGATTTTTATACCGCGAATCGCGGTAAAAAAACGCGCATATGCAATACGCCTAGGCGTGAACCAGGCCTAACACTAATGGTCAGTGCGATAAGGGACCCATTACACTGCTGTATAAACACATAAGAGGGGAATGTATCAAAACTGGAGCAGATAGAATCTGGAACAAATATACCATAGAATTTATTCAGCTTCTCTCTTCAATTGGTTCAGTTAATCTTTGAAAATAAAAGATATAAGCTGATTGGTTGCCATGGGCAATTGCTCCAGATTCTGTCTGATCTATTTTTGATAAATTACCCTCATAATGGTGAAAGTGCTGTTAAACAAAACATCTGTAAAAGCCTCATTAAATGCTCACCTGTACAAAGACACAACCACTCCCTGTGGCGGTCACTGTGTAGTCTCCTGGAATGGCTGGTAGTGTTGCCCTCTGGAGAAGGAGTCGGTTATTTTTGTCTACATGGAACTCCTCCAGAAATCCCGTCTTAGAAGTGACTGTCACCGTTATATCTCCTTTATCACTGTATGTAATCTCTGCATACTTGGCCAGGGCCTGAAGAGCCACAACTGTGTCCTATAAAAAAAAAAGATAATTGAAGTGTATGTCAAATCAAAAAAAAAAATTCTACTGCTAGAATAAGTGGGAAAAGATCATTTATTTACTGCTATCCGAGACACCATTAGATAGATTTCCCCCTCACTCCCTGCCGAGGTGGCAACAGTTCACCAAACAGGAAGTGGTAGAAAATATAGAAATCTAACAGGGGTTCTAGCCTTCCCTACTCAGCTAAAGAAAACCATTTTTATTTCTGTCTATTTTTCTGTTTTAGAGTTTCCCACACGTCCTGTCTGGTAAAAGGTTGTCAGCAGGACAGGAAGTGAGAATAAATCTCTCTAAAAGAGCCCCGGACAGCATTAAAAACCCAACAAGGGTTTTAACCTTTTCCATCTAAAACTAAGAAAAAGGGTTTTGACGGGACATACACTTTAAGTAAATAAGATATACAAAGCAAGTAGTAGACATTACAACATTGTTTTTCAAAGTGTATCGTGACACATTACAGTTGCTGATTCTCTAATCAGTCACCATTTCATGGTTCTTGTGGACAAAGTAAAGACACTAAACCTTTGACCGTAGTGGGTCTCCTAATAAACATGTTGGGGAAGGCCCATCGTCACATTCTATCACTGATGCTTCTCTACAATTAGCAGACATGGAAGACATGGTGGAGAGCTTTGGACGTGTCAAGGCCTTTCCCTTTTAGAATGGTTGACATTTGACTGTAGTAGATGTGAATGAGAGCTACTGCAGCCAGTGGTGTATTTAGGTTTGGGACTGCCCTAGGCAAGGCGTAACCCCCCCCACCTAGACATGTGCAATTTTTTTTGTTCCAAAACGAAATTTGGGCGAAATTTTAGAAATTACAGATAATAACGAATGCAGACAAATACGAATTTCCGATTCCGAAAAAAATAAACATTTCTCCTCAAATGTCACTTTTGCTGCGTTTTGTTGACGAACGAACCGTCAACAAAACGACAATTCGTACAGACTACGGCTAACGAATTTCATCCGAATCCGAAGCCCGAAACGAATTGACTTTCGGACTCGAATCCCGAAAAATCAAATAACACAAAATCCGAATCAAAACGAAACTAAACAAATTTTTTTGCCGATGCACATGTCTACCCCCCTGCCCCCACTTAATTTGCCCCACCCCTTCCTGTTTTTGACTTTTTATGTAACCTGTCAGTCGCTGGATACAGTGCACACATTTTATTCAGCTTTTGACATGTTCCGCTATTAGCATAGCAGGAAAGCTGGGGTCTCAGGTGGGCTCTGCTGGGTCTCAGGGGGGCTTTGCAGGATCTGTGCTGGGCTTCACAGGGTCTCAGGGGGGCTGTGCAGGATCTGTGTTGGGCTCTGCGGGGTCTCAAGGGTGTTGTGCAGGATCTGTGGTGGGTTCTGGGGGGTCTAAGGTGTCACAGTCCCCCTAAAACTCTGCAGAACCCACCATAGACCCCCACAAAGCCCACCACAGATCTTGTAAAGCCCACCTGAGACCCTGTGGAGCCCACCACAGATCCTGCAGAGCCCACCATAGACCTTGCGGAGCCCACTACAGATCCTGCACAGCCCCTCCTGAGACCCAGCAGAGCCCACCACAGATCCTGCGGAGCCCCCTGCACAGCCTTGTTTGCCTCGCAGCAGATACGCCCCTGGCCCTATCACATCAGGAAACCTGAAGCAATAGGGGGAATTGATCGAAACTGACTTTAATGCTAACCTTGTGTTACAGTCCCCACAGAGTAAGTACATATCAACAAAATCTAAGTGACCAGGGCTTTACTATTCAGGTGATATGAGAAACTTTGCCCTAAATCAAAGGCTACTAGTGAAGCTCAAGGTAATAACGCTTAGGGAAACCAGAGCAGACAAAATCCAGAGCAGTTGCCTATAGTAACCCATCAGCTTCTCTCTTCAGTTTTTTAAGTTTTGAAGGTGATAGAAACTAATCGGTTGTCATGGGCAACTGCTCCGGATTTTGTCTGCTCTGGTTTCCTTATTACCTTGAGCTTCATTAGTAGCCTTTAATTTAGGGCAAATTTTCTCATATCACCTGAATAGTAAAGCCCTGGTCACTTAGATTTTGTTGAAATGTACTTACTCTTGGTTACAAATGGTCACAATGGGAATAATTCTAGTACTATCATGTACATGTGGTAAGCGTTCAAGCTGTGTGGATCCCTGTGCCACTTCAACTCAGTCACTGCGCTATGTTGTAGAGAAGGAGGAAGAAGGAGATAGGTGAGGGGTATGGGGCTGGAGCATTATGGAGGAGTTCCTGTTAGTAAAAGTTTGAGCCCTGAAGCAGCGCAGTGCAGCTTTATATTGCAATGACACCCATGACCCCAATTACAACCACTGAACCAATGTCCACTTCAACCACAGGCACTGCACCAACATGCATTTTTGTACCGCTGCCACTGCACCAATGCAAACTATTGCGCAATGTTTCTTTTTCCACCTCCACTCGCACTGCATTGATGTGCCCTTTTGCATCCACCACGACCGCACTGACATGACCTTTGCTTGAATCCAATGTCACTCTACACCGATGCAAACTTCAGCACCTGCCACCAGTGAGTTCACACACTTTTTTACACAATGTTCCCTACTGCAACTGCAGGTCCTGCACTGACGTGACATGCTGCACCCACTGCCTTTACACCTGCAAGCAATACACCAACTCGCCCCTCTGCCACTGCAGCAGTGTGTAATTCAACACCACTGCACTTAAAGGCATGTCTGTACCTGCTGCCACTACACCAACACTTCTAAGTCCTTCAGTAATGCACCAATTGTCACTTCTGTAACCACCACTGTGATCCACTTACCTGCATCTGCCGCCCGTTGATGGACCTGGCCTCGTTTACTGCCGGACCGCCCTAAGCTTCCTCCACCGCCCGTCTTGCACTTGCAGGTCCCGGGCCTTCTGTGCCCGACTGACGCTTCGGGACCGGCGTCCTCTGTCACCCGACGGGTGTCTGTACCCGCCCCCTGATGGGGATCCGCCCCCCTCCTCCTGCTGCTGCTGCTCCTCCTCCACTCCACCTCTGGCTCCTTGTCCCGCTAGATTAGGCAACCGAGGCTGACAAATTCTGTGCAGCCCGGCTTGCCTGACTGTTTTGGGGGCGGCGTTTTTGCCGCCCCCCTCTAAAGTGCCGCCCAAGGCAAATGCCTTGTTTGCCTCGGGGCAGATACGCCCCTGACTGCAGCTATTTGCACTTTATAGCTGTTGGCGGCTATTTTTTCACTTTAAATGTACACTTCTGTCAATTGCTTTTTTTAAGTATCTGCAAACTTAAATATGGAAGTGTATCTTCAATGTCCAGAGGCAGTTAAAGAAAGATTTAAGCCAGTTATGTACCAGTTAAAAGAAAAATAAAAGAAAATCCGGTGCATCAAAAAAGATCTTTGGATTGATTTAGTAAAACCCAACAATTAGAACAATAAATGAAGTTGCTGCCCAAAACAGATCATGGGTTTTTTTTTCTTTTCAATTGAAATAGGGAATCTTATTACTATGGGTAGCACCTTCAGATTAACTTCAGTTTGCTTTCACCATAGTGTGCCATAATATCTATAAACACAGCAGTTCACTACAATTCATTTTAATTTTAAAACTCCAGACTGTACATATTTTTTAAATGATCTCATGTCTCAGGCTGAGCCTTCCCAATTCAAGGGTAGAAAACTTGCCCAATCACGGTTGTTTTTCTCTAATAAGCCTGTACTGCTAAGCATCTGCCTATCTGCATAAGCTAAGCACAAAGGTTTGGCTAAGTCAAACATTCCCATTCATAGGGACCTACTAGCAGAAAGGTATATTCACATTTACCTGCCCTCTGCTGTCCATGGGCCATGCAAAAAAAATAACAATAGAAGCTATACATAATGTGAGATAAAATATACTTTCTAGTATTCATCCATCAACAGACTGCTTGACAGATTAGGACATTTCAAACATAATGTGCCTAATGAATGGGCTGCCTTAACGCAATGCATGTTGCGTCCTAACACAGTCCCAAAGTGTGAATGGACCCTAAGAGAAACTGTTGTTTTTTGGTGCATTTAGACATAAAGAAGAAACCCAAAGTTGGGTTTGTCCTAAGCAACAACATTGTGTGTGGGCTCCAGTCATAATCGATGCTCGTAGACTATTCAAAACTGCTAAAAACACATTTCCAATTGGTTTTAGGTTACAGCAGTTCAATCACAGAAAACTGGTATCATGCAAAGCATATATTTGTTTTTATGAATTTTATTTTAAGAATTACCTGCTTGATAAAGTTACACTTTGATAAAGCCTACACCATCAAAGGCTCGAGAAACATTGTCTCAGGTTACAACCCGCAATCATATTATCAGAATTTGGAGACTGAGCTTCCCTTATAGTTCACCTGTGTAGATGAGAAGCCTCCATAGGCGTTCTGTTGCTTGGATATCCAGTTGACAATTTTTGCAGCTTTTCCCAGGTCAGGCTCAGGCCCATCAAGTACAGTCATTAGGACATAGGCAGTCATCTCCACTTCAGCAGATGGAGCTCTGTACCAGTAAGAATCTTGCTTGGGAGGAGTAGAATCCCGCTTCCAATGGATCTGTCCATCTTTAGATGAAATCAAAGAAAGAAAATACATAAGTTACAAATCCTACTGGAAAGCAATGGGAAAACAACATCTACTTAGTTAGCCATATTTATTTATTTATTTATTATAGGTATTTATAGAGTGACCACAATTTACACAAGGCTTTACATAGTGCACATTCACATCAGTCCATGCCCATGGATATGCGACAACAAACTCCAGACTGTACATTTTTTAAAATGATCTCATGTCTCATGCTGAGCCTTCCCAATTCAAGGGTAGAAAACTTGCCCAATCACGGTTGTTTTTCTCTAATAAGCCTGTACTGCTAGGCATCTGCCTATCTGCATAAGCTAATCACAAAGGTTTGGCTAAGTCAGACATTCCCATTCATAGGGACCTACCAGCAGAAAGGTATATTCACATTTACCTGCCCTCTGCTGTCCATGGGCCATGCAAAAAAAATAACAATAGAAGCTATACATAATGTGAGATAAAATATACTTTCTAGTATTCATCCATCAACAGACTGCTTGACAGATTAGGACATTTCAAACATAATGTGCCTAATGAATGGGCTGCCTTAACGCAATGCATGTTGCGTCCTAACACAGTCCCAAAGTGTGAATGGACCCTAAGAGAAACTGTTGTTTTTTGGTCCATTTAGACATAAAGAAGAAACCCGAAGTTGGGTTTGTCCTAAGCAACAACATTGTGTATGGGCTCCAGTCATAATCGATGCTCGTAGACTATTCAAAAAAGCTAAAAACACATTTCCAATTGGTTTTAGGTTACAGCAGTTCAATCACAGAAAACTGGTATCATGCAAAGCATCTACTTTTTTTTGTGAATTTTATTTTAAGAATTACCTGCTTGATAAAGTTATACCTTGATAAAGCCTACACCATCAAAGGCTCAAGAAAAATTGTCTCAGGTTACAACCCGCAATCATATTATCTGAATTTGGAGACTGAGCTTCCCTGCTATACACAAGAACTTTCAGGATGGAAAAGAAGATCAATGTGCTTAAATACTCATCTAAATAGAGTGTTCCCCTAATGGGCTCAGCCTTATTCAGGATAGCACAAGGTAGGATGCCCTCATTAAGAGCTTTATTTACCTTGGACAAGGGCTCTGCCTGCTTCTTTGGCACTAGACATACAGGATGCCAAATACCCCCCTACATTATGTAATGGCAGTGTTATTACGTATGCACTGTATTTACAGTGCAAAGCTGTTAACTTTAATTTATATATGTATATTGAACCTACTTGTTACTTTCAATTAATATATAATAAACCTATAACTTACCACCTATCACAGCTTTTTCTTCCAATCTTTTCAACAAGTCCTTCCTGAGCTCATTGTCTCCGTACAAGGTAAAGGTGTAGGCCATCAGAGCCAGGGTGTATACATTAGTCACTTTTACAGCTTCCTTCCGCAGACAGGTCACAGCATCCCTTACCAAAGGATCCTGCAATTATGCATAGATTATTATTTCATTCCCAGTATTTTCTGAAGCTCTCGTAAAGGGTAAGTCCACTTTCCCAAGTGAATTTGGGGGAACCCCTCTTCCCTCATAATCTAAGTAGATTAGAGCATATAGTCTCTAGAACATTTTAGCCATTTCCAGTAAAATCTTACTTAAAGGACAACTATGAGGTGAGTGCTTTTCACTCACCTCATAGTTCTAGCCGACCTGTGACAATGAGACTGCCACAGGTCGGCTCAGTAGATCGGGAGGTGAGCGAACATATACCGGCGTTCGCTCACCTCTCGATCCTGTCACAGCTCTCTGCCATGACAGGGGAGGGGCTGGATTCCCCCCTCCCCGCTCCGATACGCCAGCGCTGACTGGCGGATGGGACGGGGGAGGGGGCGGGTACAGCTGGCTCTGCCTCTAGATAGGCAGAGCCAGCTGTCACTCACGCAGCTGGGCGGATCCAGACATAATTGTCGGGATCCGCTTCAGCTGCGGCATCTCAGTATACCGTGAGCAGTAGCTTAGGGTGGCGGGAGGACACTAGTTTGTGTCCTCCCGTTACCCTAAGGAGGACTATGGGGAAAAGCCTTAACCCCATAGTTCTCCTTTAATCAAAGTAGTGAATTATGGATTCTGATGGGTTACTTTGAGTCACTGCATTTTATCCCTTCTAATTACCCTTCATTATTAACAATATCTCTTATAATTTCACATGATATATGATCTCCTTGGTGCGGGTTTGGTTTTTCTTGTGTGCCAAGACTAGCACAGAACAGTGTACAGTACATACTGCTCTAAGATATCAATCAAATTCTCATAACCTTTCTTTTTCCAGTAAAGGAAGTCTGTGCATTAATCATACACATTGTATTACTTACTTCATGAGATAAACCATGTTCCAGCAGTGCAATTGTAACATAAGCAGAGAGAGAAGTGTCATCTTCCACGCCTCCCTGTAACAAATAACAGAGCTTGTTCTTAAAATATGAACACTTAGGCCCGGTTCACAACTGGGCGTTTTGTAGCGTGTTCGAGCGCTCTGCAAAACGCTCAAACACCGAAATCCCATTGTTTCCTATGGGTATGGTTCACACCTGGGCGTATCTCAGCCTGTCTGAACGCGCTACAAAATGGCCTACGCCCAAAGAAGTACAGGAGCTTCTTTGGGGCGTATTTGCCACGCGTATCCATTGGTATACAGCCAGGTAGCCCTCGGAAACGCGCGTTTGTCACGTGTTTTTTACCGCGAATCGCGCATATTAGATATGCCTAGGTGTGAACCCAGCCTTAACTTTAACTGTCAGGTGGTACTGTGGTTCCCAAACTTGAATGGTGTATTTCCAGAGTCCACTAGTGGATGTATCCCTGCAGTCAGCAGCTTCCAGCTATTAGTCACCATCTGATGCTGGCTGCTAGGAGGGTATTTAGCCACCTTTAGGAGTCAAAGAGTTCTTTAGTATTTTACCTGTGAGCCTGCATGCTCTGGACCTCTTACTCCCTGAAACTTCTACCTGTTCTAGCCTTGTTCCTGGCCTGCCCCCAGTTACCTTGTACTCCCGCCTTACTTTGCTCTACCTGGTTACCCTGATTCCCCTTCTCCTCTGTTTGTACCTAGTTTGTTAGGTTGTTAGTTTTCCACCTTTTCACGCTTGTCCACTGGGTTGCGCATAGGTCAGGGGGGTATCTATGGTAAATAGCGCCTATGGCAAGCACTGAAATTGCTCTCTTCTCCAAACATCTGACACCTCAGTTCTGGCACACCCATGCCAATTAGAACTGCTGGGCCTGTAAGGTTGGTGCAGAATAAGGAATGTACAGAGTGAGGCAGTAAAGAATATACCATGTACAACAAGGTGTATAGATGAGGCAGCATGGAGTGGGGAACATACAGAATGGTATAGAAAATAAGGCATTGTTGAATATGGAATGTACAACATGGCATATGGAATAAGGCGGTGTGGAATAGGGAACGTACAGCATGGCATATAAAATGAGGTATAGCTGAATAGGGAACCTACAACATGCAATACAGAATGAGGCAATGTGGAATAGGGAATGTACAACATGGCATAGGGAATGAGGCAGTGTGCGAAATAGGGAAGATAAACCATGGCATATAGAGAGAAGGTGTGGAATAGGGAACATACAGCATGACATAAAGAGGTGGAAGGCAGTTTTTATTTAAGTTAAAAGATACTCAATGCCTAGATTTCTATCTATCTTTCTATGTAAATCACCTGGGTGTAGAGTTGGGAGAATTCTATTAAAGATTAAAGTTCTACATTTAGTGGCCACAGTGAAGGTCAAATCGAGGATAGATTATCTCCTGTTCATGACCACCACATACAAATCACTACAAGCAGGGCCAGCCTTAGGCCTTAAGGTGCTCTGTGCGAGAAAGTTTTACAGTGCCCCTCAGTGACCAAACCCCTCAGTAACCACACCCCTCAGTGGCCACACCCAATTCCCCAATACCTGCATAATTAAAGCCTCCCATTTTGTTAAGCCCCAAAGAAACAGATTAAAAAGTATGATAAAAATAAAACTTCTATAGGCAAACAAGTGGTAAACAATAAATGTCAAACTAAAATAGAGTGTCAGGATGTCATGCAGACCCTTTTTTCAAGGAAGTGCATCTAAAAAAGTAAAAACAAAAAACAGAACACAAAACCTAGACTACATGTTAAATATTGCATACTGTTTACTAAAATAGGGTGCGGTGCACACTGTTGCACGTGTATTATATGTAGACTTGTGCACCAGCAAATCAACACAATTCAGTTGATTCAGCTGTTCATCCAAATCCGAATGAACAAATTATTATATGCCTGAATATACGAAAAATTTATTCGGCACATAATAATTAGTGCGGCGGCCATGTTGGCTGCCAGTGCGTTCTGCGCATGCATGTTGCCATCTTAGAGTCAAGGGGCATGATGCCGTGTGTGCGCAGTGTCAGGTGATGTCACATGTCGGTATAGGTGCCACCATCTTGGTGTATATCTAGATATAAACCAAGATGGCAGCGCCCAACAGGTGGACGCCACCCAACACATGCACAGAACACGCCTGTGGCTGAATCCGAAATAGTATAAAAATTAATTTTGTTTGACAAAACTAATGTTTTTAGTTTTCATTCATTTCATCTGAAATAAATTTTTAGTTTTTGTACATGTCTAATTATAATATGTGTGTGTGGGGGGTTGGAATTGTTATTTTATTTTTTTTAATTTTTTCTTTATTATTATATTTTGTTTTACTGTTGGGGTGGCTTCGGGGAAATATCAGGGGTCTAAACAGACCCCTGACATTTCCCTTTTGAAATAGAAAAAGAAATGGAGGACACAGAGTCCTCAGTCTCTTTTTCTGCAGCCTCAGCACTTAATGAAGGGAGAGCACTCAGTACAGAGGCTTCATATTCATTCACAAATGGGAGAGAGTAAATTTACTATCATTTAGTCATGAATGGATAGAAGCCTCTGTACTGAGTGGTCCTCCCATTCAGAAACTCATGAATGAACAGTAAGTGATGTAAAGCACTTCCTGTTCATAATTAGGGACAAATAGTACTACGTGTCCCCAGTTGTTTACAAATATTGGAGTGATCAGCGATCACTCCAGTATTTGTGCTGCACACAGAGGATCGGTAGATATCACAGATATTTACCAATACTCCCGCTCTCCATCCTGAGCCTCGAATACATCACAGAGCTGCAGGCGATCCTGAATCTGACAGCCGGTGGCTGTGACAGTGCTCCTCCCCCTCCGGATGCACAACTCAAACACCCCAAAGGCCGGCCCTGGCTACAAGCCTTCTCTATGCTTTTTTTCTCCAGACAGTGCCAATAGTACAGAGCTGAGTGTTTACCTTCATTGCATTATTGAAAAGTCTTCCCATGCTGCGGAAGCAGCCCGACTCATTACGGTGGTTTTTCAGCCAGTTGACAGAGTCGTTGAGGTGACTTGTATCTATAAATATGTAAGGCCGAGATTTGCTGTAGGACTTTACCACAAAGGCACTTAACCTGTGGAAATATGTTCAAAATTTAAAAAAAAACAGTTACATACAGTATAACTATTGCAACCAATAAGAGAGCTACCAAAGCATTAAAGCACACTGTAAATGTCACATAGTTCACCCTAATCAGAGTTTTGTAATGCACTGAAGTCACAGTACACACAGACCACCTCACAGGTTCAGTAGGTAGGCAGTAGGAGCGTACTTACTGAATCCTCTGCTGTGTAACACAGTTTCCCTGCTTCCTGCAACACCATTCACAATCAAACAAAGGCAGGTTTGACTCCAATTGGTGGCTGTAAGAAACATTTTAGTACTAATATTTATTTTTTAGGTTTTCTGTATGTGAGAGAGGGTACAGTGGGTATTCCAGCATCACAGACGGGTATGTTTCAGGATGTCCAGATTATTGTAAACAGGAGTGGGGTCGACTGCTGCACTACAGTAATGTCCAAATGAAATAGTAAAGTACTGAGTAGGGGCTGTTCTTCCTGTATGCACCTCAAGGCCCAATTTCCCAATTCTCCATTTTGGCTAAACTGTATTTTCTTAAGAGTTCTTGAGATAATGGCTTCCCAGGCTTCCCCGTGATCAGTCCTACTTTAGATCATGGGTGAAAGCTTACAGTACATCCACTCTGATACACAGGAACACGCTTAGTAGAGATTGTGGTTATAAAATGACTATCATTCATAGACAATATGAGGGTTTTTAAAGCTGAACTCAAGGCAAGCATAAAACATCAATTAGTGATTATGTACTTATACTTATAAGATAAGAAAAAAATATCTGTTTTTAAATGTAACTATTTAAGTACTTTAATTCAACTTGTATCTGCCTCTTGCTATCTTCCATACACAACTGATTACACTGGGAAAGGGAGGGACCTCAATAGGACCAATCAGGTGTGTTGCAGGAACATGTGTTTCAAACAAACATGCTGATAGGAGGAGAAAGCAGAGGACCGATCTCTTGAGCCTACTGCTGCTCATTGACTGTCCAATCACAGGCTATGAGCATGAAGGTGATCTAACTGTTTTGTTTAACTGCAGTAAGTCTCTATATTTGGGAAGGGGGCTGTGTAAATCTCAGGACCATATTTAAAAAAAAATCCTTTGTAAAGCAGAACAGCTCTTGCATATGCATGTTGATTGTGACTGTATCTTTTTGCCTGGAACTCAGGTAATAAGAGCTTAGTGCTTTCTAATTATAATGTATATTCACAGTCACCTCTTGAACTAGTAAGGTGACATTCTTGTTGGAACACAAATGGTATTGCAATTTGGAATGTTACCTTGATTCAAAGGTTTTCCTGGGAAATCTCACACAGATAAAATAACATGATTTGAACTTTCCCTCTCATGCAACAAAGTACAAATAAAATCCTTGTTCCAATCCCCCAGCATCATTGACACAATACTGACAGAATTAGAATCATACAGTGATTAAACTAAATCCAAAATCAACCCTAGAAGGAAAACTTGGCAAAACAGTGATGTGCCCATGTACTCTGTGGGGGCGCTGAGGGGAGCCTGATGCAGCCAGAGTTAAGACAACCTCTTAAACAGCTGTCTACACAAACCCTTAGAGTCATAGCAGATAAGCAATAAGACCCCGAAAGGTGATGTGCTATCCTTTCACATATAAAACTATATATATATATATATATATATATATATATATATATATATATATATATATATATATATAGAATATATATA